ATTGGAAACTTGGGATTGCACTATTCTCTCCAGGGGTTCCGAAAGGTTAGATAGGATTGAGATTGGTCTCAAATCTTCAGGGGAAGAAGGGTTAGTATTTTTATTTAAAGGAGGATTCGTGGTTTTTTTCCAGAAGGTAGATAATATTGAATTTTGAAAGGAGAAATTATAGATGAAAAGGAACACAGAAAGGATTTCAGGCAGGCATAATTTGATTAATTTAGCGGTAATGCCATCTGGATCAATAGAATAAGAGTGTTATATTTCATCACGGCGGATAAGAGGCCTGTGGGAGAAATATCTGAAAAGTAGAAGTCGTCGTCACTGGAACAATGCTCAAGGAGAAAAGGAGGAAGAAGTAAATGGAAGCACTGAAGAGGGAGGGGATCATAAATATAAATAATAATAAACAATAGATAATATATTGAAGGAAGTCAACTGTTCTACATATCATGGGTGGTAAATATTCAGGATGCTGTAATTATAAAGTTTTTATTGGTGCCGATGTTTCAACCCAAACATCTGGGTCATCATCAGGGCGTGTTTCGAGCACTGAAGTTATTCAAGTACTGACTCTCCTTGATGATGACCTAGATGTTTGGGTTGAAACGTCGGCACCACTAATAAACTTTATAATGACTGTGTCCTAAATATTTATCACCCATAATAGATAATATATTATTGAAAGAAGTTAGTCGACTGTTCTGCATACCATGGGTGAAAAATAGCGAGGACGCAGTCATTTATAAGATTTTTACTCAGCCCAAGCCTGTCAGTCATCATCAAGGTGTGTTTCGAGTACTGATGATGACCCAACTCACATGCTTGGGTTGAAACGTCGGCATTAATAAAAACCTTAAAAATGACTGCCTCCTGACTATTTATCACTCCTAATAGATAATAAATACAAAATACAGGACAAAACGTTTAACAAACATTTATAAGTACAAGTTTTGGAAATAATTTTTTGTACACAAATTGGTAATGTATAATTCATCAACAATAAAGGACCTTAATCAACAACATTGCCTGGTGTAATAAAACAGGTTCTTGAGGAAGACATTATTGTCAGTTTTGAATAATTCCAAATAATTTGATCTGGTCATGTTAGCGTAATGAGGTAGAACGTGATGGCAGAAGGGAGTGTATTTGGACACCGAACGAAAATATAAAACAGGTCCTCTAATTTAGATAGCTTACAGAGTGTGCAAATTTCTTTCGGTTTAAAATAATAATACATATATTGAGCGTTAATTTAATATGATAATTGCCAGGTACCTTAGCTGTGTTAATGTTTTAGTCATAGGAAACAGAGAATTTAATGTGAGGTAAGGCTGATGCTTATCACTCATTGGGATATATTGGACTGCACCTAGTAGAAGAAATAAATTTTTGTTTATCACACTCCTCCAAGTGTCTCTTAAACAGGCTTATTGTTTCATTCATTTCTAGCTGGAATGCACCTCCGTCTTCTAATTCCAGAATGGACTGTTTTACAGAGCACAACTGAATGAGTAACTGATTAAACCAATTGAATTTATGATCTCCTTTGCCACTAATATATACTTTTTTCAAATTATTAAAACAAAATTTTTAACACCCAAGGTTAAAAGAGGCCGTCAAACTGCTTCCAGACTATGTACACGAAAATGCAATTTTAGGCCAAAAAAACAATTGAGAAAAAGCTTAATTTGTTTATTGCTTAATTTTGATGATTATTATTCATACTTACCAAAAATATATATACATCTTAATAATTTCGGACATAAACCTCATTAGAGTAAATTATATAATAAATGTATGAACATTTTTATCCAACTGCCAGTACAAATAATTGTTAGCTATGTTCCTCTCCCTAGTTTTTCTCCTCTCTAATGTATAATATAATTTAATCAACCATCAATCAATCAATATGGCAAAACATCCATGCTTTTTGGGTCCTGGTAAGCTGATTTGATGACACTAATGAGGTTCGGTGGTATCCACTTCTCCTATAAGACAGTCCAAATCTCGTGTCTGGGGACCGAGTCAAAGGTTGCTTTGAGGTCCAAAAAGGAAAAGGAAACATTTTGTCCTCGGTCCAACACTCTCCATAATCAACCTGAGAAGATTTGGTTCTGGGTTTGTCTTAAAGACTGGAAAGCAGCTTATTCTTCTTCCATGCCAGGTACAACGTATGCTCTCAGTCGTGTATGCAACATATGCCTCCAGGATCCTTGTGTACATAAAGAAGGAATTTACTAGGAGAAGGTCCAATGCAGAAGTCCAGAAGTCTCTGCCCATTGCTGTTTTTTGTATCTTTCCCTCCAAATCTTTTAGATGAAAACATGAAAAAATCAAGTGGGTGGAATTTTTTGCCTGTTAGTTTATATCTGAGTACAAGTAACTTTTCCCATCGTGAGTTTGATATCCATTACTATGATTCTGGAAGACATGGCCTCCCATTTATCTATCCTGTTGTATCATTTAGCTCGTCCCTCAGGATAAACGCCACTCCCTCCTTGGCTTTTCCAGCATTTACCCCAGAGAATATCATTGTGAATCCAGATGGCAAATTCCTGCTTCTCCAATTCTTCCTCCTGACTTCTCTCAGACCCAAGATGTCCATCCTATATCTCTTGATCTCCTCAAGCTCTGCATCTTTACTGGTGATGTTCCTAATATTCCATGCAGCTAATCTTATGTCCTTGTCCATGCCATCCATGTCTTTCCTTGTTGACCATCCAATCCTGATGCTATCTTTGAATCTTATATACTCTGGGTGGGGAAGGGGAAAACTGGCCTCCAGAATATTTAGATCCCCTCAGGAGGAAGGGTAACCGAGCTATACTCCCCGAAACTGGGTCCCCTAACCTGGAGGGCCAGTGGCTGTTTGCAGTCCTGTTGTACTTGTCACTGATAATCACAGGTTTCATGTGGGGGAACAGGAAAATCCGGTGTACACCGTACCACTAAAAAATTTCATACACAAATAAAATTGTTTTCATCCACAGCGTCTCTCTACACTCATGAGGTTCCTCTATCTGTCACTCCCTGGGAATCATCCACCACCATGTGCATGGGAGCGGATAGGGGGAGAGTTTGCTCGCGGGGGAGGGAGGGGGGAGGCATGCGTGTGTTACAGCATTTTTTATATTATTATTTATTGAACACGTCCACTGTACTTTATGAATTTTTTATGTATTAGGTTAGAAAGAGAGAGGAGAGAATGTGAGTGGGAACATGTATAGGGGGAGAGAAGGAAGAGAAAGGGTACAGAATGATAATAAATGAATGAAAGAAATAGTAAAAATTATAAAAAAAAAAGGAAAAAAAAAAAATATATATATATATATATATACGTATAAAATATTGTATACTATGCTCATACATATTGTTAATCCTATAATTGTATAATAATTTTAAATAATGTCTGTAGTGATTAATAAGTATGCTGTGTTGTTAGCAACCCAATGTAATTGGGCAGCACCATTTTATTTTATTTTATGATAATAAAGTGATTCTCTCTCTAAACGCCTCTGCCGTTGGCTATTAGGCCATTCGGTTCCTGGAAGCCCAATACAACTCTGCCATGAATCCTTTTCAATACATCTAACTGTACAGCCTCCAATTTATCATTCTCTTCTATCTTCTTTTTAATTGAAAAGGTTACCTTGAGGGATGATCTGGCAGCGACAATTATTCCTCATGCAACCTGCCTGGATCTCTGCAGTTTATAAATTTGATATCCCGGTAATTGGTAGAACTGGATATTTTCAGTGGATGAGTCGGCTTCTACGATCCCATATAAATCAGTATCCTCCTTTGTAATAATCGTCTTCCATTCTGTAAATTTGTCAGCAGTCAGGCCACCAGCGTTCCAGAACATAGCCTTAATCTTTGTGTTGACTGGGGCTTTAGGTTTCCTTAATTTTGACGGATTCATATTTTGTGGATTCTATGTTGTTGAACTGTCTTCACGGCGACAATATTGTTCATTTAGTTATAACCTGGGGGCACGTGTATAATGTACGGACGTGAGCAAAGTTACCCAATTTTTATTAAAGCTTTTTAGTTTTCATTTCTCCATCATATGTTGGCTATTATACAACAACTTAAAATTAATATATAAAACTAATTTATTTTTAGCTAACCCTTTTTGAGATAAAAAAACCCATTATTTTATGAACTATTTTTTTTTGTCTTTTATTTTTCGTCACAATATGCCCTTTAAGGAGATGTGAAACGAATTTTCCAAAAATATTTTTAAGTATAACTGCTGTTTCAGAAGCCACCCCCCCCAAAATAATTAAGTCAGACTATTGTTTGATCACGGTAATTTGGTATGAGCCAAATATTACACAAAAGATGTCAAAAGTATAATTTTGGGTTGGTTCAGGTTTGAATTGGAGTAGACTGGGGTTCTATCACTAAAATTAAAAATTTGTGAAACAACAAAAAATTTTTTTAAAATAATGAATATAAACCAAAAAATAAAAATTTGTACACTTGATTAATTTTAGAAATGAAAATAAAATTATGAATGAAAGAAAAGAAAAAAAAATACAATTTTTGGAATCACGCATTGTAGGGTTGAAAAAATTCAAATAATTCTGCTTCAGGTGAAAATTATATAATGCTAGAAGTTGTTCTTGGCCTCTCTCATTTTTCCACATATTTCCTCTACCAAGTTGTTTAACTTGGGATTTAGAACATCATAGTTCTTTGACAATGTCTGGTAAAAAATAAATGTGCACACTTCCCGTAGCCTATTCTTAACTGTGCAGAAATAATTGATATTAAAATAGAGGCGAATAAAATGGTCTTGAGGCCCAGAATTACACATAAATATTTTCCCCTTTTTTTGTGTGTGTTTCAGTGGTTGAACACTGAACAACTATATAAAAATACTAAATACATTAATACAAAAGGTAACATTTGATGATAGTTAACATTAATTGTCATTGTTTAAATAAATATAACCTGTTTAACTATAATCTAATTATATTGGTTGTATATACCTTTGTGATTGCTTCTTCAGGTGATCTAGAGCTATCAGAATACAAAAAATCCAAAGATATAGATAACATTGGACAGTGTTCTAACTTGTACATAAGGCCCATTGCCAGTAAAGATGTCTCCTTTTCCTGCCCCACGATGAGTAACTTTGGTGACCTAACTATCTCAAACCTAAAAACAACCAGACAAGATAGGAATAATAACAATAAATTTTAATAATTATTATATATTATAATAACAATAATCCTGGAAAATGTCGCGACAGAGGGAAATTCTTAAATAATAATAAATGAAACCAAGAAAGCTGTGATGTTGAATAGCTCAAGATTTGTAAGGAGCTCTCAATATTCAATAAAAATACTTGTTGAAAATAAATAATAATGATGGAATCAGTCCATTAAGAAAAGCATAGGGAGGTTGCAGCCTCATCGCCCGGTGAATATACCGCAGATAGCCACTGGCCCTCCAGATTGGGGGAACAGTACACTGACATTCACTCAGTACACAATAACAGCATACTACACTCACCCCAATACTACAGTAAACACTAGGCTTTCTGTCACTAAGTAGCCACTCTGGAGGAGGAGAGAGTTAGGACACTCTGAGGATGCAGCCTCTACACCTGACTCGGCGCAGTAGGCTGATAACCTACTCCCTTAAACTTCAAATATCTTGAAACTTGCACAAAGATCAGCCGGACAGGACACTGGTAACCGACATAATGGTCGCTTTAAGGACTTAAAACTCCTCCTGGAACGTTTTATCTCTATACAGACCAGGAGCTCTGTGCAGACCAACAGCCACTTACACAATTAGACAGCTATAAAGTGAACATTGCTGACATCCAGGAGATCAGATGGACAGGTATGTTTGATAAAAACAACTAATAATTTTTATACAGTTGTAGTAAACACAACCACAACTTTAAGAAAGGTTTTATAATGAAGAGGAATAAATCCCAAATTGTGTTAGATTTCAAGCCTGCCAGCCCTAGGATTTCCTGCACATGACTAAAATGGAAATTCCAAAACTACAGCATCATTAGGGTACATGCTAGTCCCTATTGAAGTTTTTGAAGAGGATAAAGAACCATTCTATATATAATGCTCTGGATCATACTTTTGACGAACTTCCAGGAGCTGATGTTAAAATTGTGATAGGTGATTTTAATGCTCAAGTCAGAAAAAGAGTCTACCTTCCAGCCAACTATTGGCAAGCATAGCATCTACGATGTGACAAATAACAATGGCTTCAGATTGATTAACTTCACTGCCTCTAGAGGTCTGGTTGTAAGAGGCACACTGTTCCCTCACAAGAGGATACACATGGAGCTGGAATGATATTCCATGAATGAATCAATGAAATTCAGCATCAGATTGTCTCTGCAAAGAGATGCTACCATAGATTAGCTGGGCATTTCAAGAGCAGAGTAGTATACCGAGCCACCAAGATTCGCCTGTATAAGACATTGGAAAGGCCAGTACTCACGCTACAGAATGCTGGACCACTACCACTAGGAATTAAGAACAGGCCTTGCCAAGATTTAAGAGATGGATCCTTAGAAGAATTATGGGTGCAAGACATATAAATGGAGTCTGGATACAGCGGACTACTGCTGAATTAAAGCAGCTATATGGAGATGCTGATATGGTGACCTTTATTAAGGTAAGTCATCTCAGATGGGTTGGCCACATTATAAGAATGTTTAAAGATCAGGTCCCAAAAAACATCCTCTTAGAACAAATCTATGGTAAACGAAGAAGAGGAAGACCAAGGTTGCGGTAGATTGATAGCATATCATCAGATGGACGATCCATGCTTGGGGTCCAGAACTGGAAGACAGCAGCTCAGAAAAGGGTTGACTGGGGGTCAAAGTTGCATTTCAAAGAGGCTTTGTCTCCACGCAGGTAGTAGTGCCGTATAAGAAGAAGAAGTCCATTAAGATAACAAAAGAAAAGCAGAGCTGGGAAGTTATTTAAATACTGAAGACCACTAAATAAACCTATTTAAATAAAAGTCCTTAATTGTTATTTAACAAATACTTTTATTTAGAAGAAAATGCTTAATACAAATGAAATTATCTCATGTACTATAAAATCAACTTCACCATCATTAATAAAAAAAGTATTTTTTTCATTAAAAATTTCTTCCATATTTTGGTCCATTAAGCTGTGGTTAGCGAGGACAGTTAAGTACTCTTTCACCAATCAATTAATTTCAACTTTCCCAATTTCTTCGATTTAGGGGTCTATTATTATTTTATCAGGGGCGTATTTACTCTCTCTCTCGAGTATCGAATTATATTCCAAAAGTACAAAATCCTTCATACAATAGTCGATGATCTGTTTTATGAAAACAACGAAACCCTACACCATGAAGTTAACATCCCATTTATCCTGAATCTTATCCCAAAAAAATTCTCCTAATTTCACCAGAACCTTTAGAACTGGCTTTACCAACAGTGACACAGTTGAGAGAGTAGCTTAGAAACCACCTAGATTCCTGTTTCTTCCTCAAGTTCCCTCACCTGATTGTAAATGGTGTATATAGGTATGTCTGCGTTTTTTTTTTTTTTATTTTACTTATGTTTTAAGTTATTTTATTTTTATTTATTGTATACACTATTTGATTTTTATTTGGTTGCTTTTTTCTTCTGTATATTTAATCTTTTCTGTACATATAGTGTGAATAGTGTATTACCTCATTATAACCATTGTCCATGTGACAGAATGTATATTTATATAATATTGTGGAGTCTGTATTATATTAAGCGTGTTCTAATCTTTCGGGCTTCCTTGGTTCCTCAATTACAATTATTTCCTGTTACGATCTCTTATTTCTCTTTTAGTTAATTATCAAATTCATTCATATTTAATTATTTTAGGAATTAATGTGAAATGGTCAATTATTTCAAATAAAAAAAATTAAAGGTACTTTAGAGGAAGCTAATACTAAAAATTAGCCATTTAAGCCCTGTTAGAGAACATCAATCAAAATAATAACCACAGTTTATTTAAAACTGCTTAATTTTACACTGATGTGATGAATTTAATCAAAATCATTAGAGCGGTTTTTGAGATAATCGTAAAAAATGTGTTTAGTCCATTATTTAAAGTGCCACTTACGGTTAGCAGATTTTGACAAAAAAATTGCTGTAACATCCCTAGCATATAAAAACTTTAAATATGTAATTTCACTTCCGTACGACATTTTCATTTTTGAGCCAGAATGTTAATACACACACACACAAACAGACATACACACACACACAGACCATTTTGCAGGACTTGGTTATTTGGACTCAGGGGACCTCAAAACGTGTATTTCCGTTGAAAACTCAGATTCAAAAATTTTCATGATCGCAATACTTATCCTTACTAAATATTACATATATAGGTAAGTGCAAGTAAAAGTGCAAGATAGAGTTTGATAATTTTTATATTTTCTAAAATAAAGTCTTGAGGCTAACACGTTAGCTCAGCACCGCCGTTGCCCGGCTACTGACTGACCCGATTTCTAATCAATCTTGATTCTTTTGTTAGAATCACTTCAGAGAGTACAATTCTCGCAGAGGAATCGACTCTTTGATTTGATTCTCAATTCACCTGCTCATCTCTAGCACGAACTATGCTCAGCATCAGGGACTGGATATAGTGGCTGCCAGAGATAGATGTTTGGAGGAAGCTGGTTGAGGCCAGGACTCATCACTGAGTTGTAGTGGCCAAATAATAATAATAATAAGAAGAATATTACTGGAACCCATCTGAATCAATGAAAGTACAATGCACTAATCTTCTTCATTAATAGTAGTTATTAAAAACGGTTTCTAGATTTTTAGAGGTTGCTATTAATGAAAGTGGAAATGACTAGATTTACATTTTGGAACTACCACATTATAAATATTAGCTGATCAATATAGGAACCCATACTGCACTAAACATGTGGTGGTGAGTAATTACATTTGAAACATATAACATAAATATTAACATGACTGTATACACTCACGGCTGATTGGCTTTATTAAATGCAGCAGGAAAGACGTTCCCAACGTAACTGAGAATGGTTGCAAGAGATTCACCTATAACAACATTTAATACTCTATGATTTATATCTGTAAATGTGTATAAATATATATAAAATTATTATGACCAATAAATTCACATACCCAACAATGGTTCAAGGTAGTCAGGAAGTGGCCTTCCAAGTGATGGAATAACTCTTTGTGCTGCAGGCACAATAGATCTTTGAGCCTTATCAAAATCACATTTCTTCACCTAAAAGTATATACAGATATTTGTATATTTCTTAATGGTAATACTAATTTCAAGATAAATTATTTCATTTTTATAAATTTTGGATTACTTATTTAATACAGAAGTATTTAAATGAATTTCCATCAAATAATGGTATTAATTTATGTTTATTGTTTCAATTATTTCATTGGTATTTTAATATTTAATTTAATTTCAATATTTAATAAGCTGTGTCTTTAATATTACTAATTCTCTCTAATCTCGACCCGACTTTGCAGGTCTTCATCAGGGCTAGAACGGACAAGATACAAAAAGATGTGGCAATTACATAATATTTAGACATAATTTATAAACAATGTGAATAAGCTTATTAAAATTATAAACAGTAAGTCCAATAAAATATGGACAAAGTAAACTGAGTAACAAGATCCTAAACTGAAGTAAATAGATGCTAACAATTGCTGTAGTGTAATATATAATAAATGAAAATGTGGATATACTTCTACAAAATCTACAGGAGAGAAATAAAATTAGAGACTTACAGGTGTGTTCATCTAGGAGTTTCACTTAGAACTGGAAAGGCAGCGGTAAGGATAGCAGGTATAGGGGAAGCTAACATGTGTTAACTAAGTAAACTGGGAAAAACCTAGGAAATTACAGTATCTAAAAATTTTTGAAGATATGGATGGATACAATGAAAAAATACTATATATATGAAATATTAAATTATAAATATATAAATATACATATAAAATAGAGTTGAGAGATGTGAGAGGTATTTCATGATTCTAGATCAGAGTACAATGTGAATAAACCCAAAATTGGCAAAAGTAAAATATAAATATAGAAATAACTTCATTTACATACATACATTGCAGAGCTAACTTAAAAGTATAGAGAGGGAAAAAAATTAATAATTATAATTATATTTGGTTGTACCTATGTAAGAAAATTACATTTGAATATTAGATAATATTGAGACATGGTTCATAAGTAAAATCAATATAAAGTGGAAAAAGGATGATCATAAATTGGTGTAGAGTGTAAATGTAAATTTAGAATAAAATAAAAGAGAGATCATACAAAGAAGGAATATTTAGAATAATGAACAATTAAATGAATTAATTAATAAAAATTGAGAGTAGATGAAAATAATAGAATAGGATATTTAAGTTATTTTTCCTTTATAAGACTTAAAATGTGTCTATATGTAAAAGAAATACAGTTTTTGTCTACTTTGTGATTAACAGGATTCTGTTCCATGTGAATGTGGATAGATTCGGAAATGAGTCTTTTATCAAGGTTAGGGACCATGGAAAGGATAGAGGTTTTTTCAAAATCCAATGAGTGGTTGAGGGTTAGAGCATGTTCTGATAGTTTGGAGGCGGAAGGATTCCGGGAAGTTATGGACGTTTTATGTTGGGAAATGTGGGTTTTGAGATAGTTTTTGGTTTCACCAATATAGGAGCTATTGCAATTGTGTTGTAAGAGTATGGGATCCTTCAAGTTGGTGAAAAGGAAAGAAAGTTTGTTATGGGACTTAAGGCCAAGGCGTAAGTTGGTTATAGTCTATTTTAGGAATTTTTGCAGATTGTCTGAGAGGATAGGAATATTTTTATAATTTTACAATTTACAATTATTCATTTATCATTTTACAATTTATAATAATTATATAATTTTACCACTATTTAGCCTATTTATGACCGCAACCCCGAACCATCTCCTTCCTTAAAAAAATATAGCTTTTTTGGTTGTAAAAAGTTTTCCTTTTGTTAAAGATTAATACAATCCTAATAAGCAGTATATTATACAATAGATAATATAAGTTATCTATTAGTATTTTATACTAATAGATAATATAAATTTAAATTTTATTTTATTTCATTCAAAAATGTGTTAATTATTAAATAGAATATTAGATGTTATTGATATTATGTTTATTTGATCCTTAGCATTCACAGTCCATGAATCAGTTAAGCCCTCAGCATTCATCAAATGTCAATAATATATAAAAATTTTAATTCAGTATTTTTTAGTAAACTCAATTATAATAAAACCAGAACATTTAGCGCCCAAACAGGGACCCTGTGAAAAAGGATCAAGTAAAGGACAAGTGTGTTCATAAAATAGTTAATTTAAATAATTGATTGTGTGGAAATATTTATTAACTAAAATGGATAATAATGAGGAATAAAAGATAGAAACACTCAATGCTTCCATTATTAATTCAGTGAATGAAAATGTTGAAATAAATGAAATGTAGATGAGTTTGCTGCGAGTTTTAAGAATAATACAGCGAATCTAAAAATGGTGGGCAGAAGTACAGTCATAGCTCATAACAATGAACTTGCCATGTTAGATGCTAACATGGGTGATAAATATTCAGGATGCAGTCTTTTTTAAAATTTTTATTTTTGCCAACGTTTCAACCCAAACATGTGGGTCATCTTCAGGGCTGAAAATGTTTTTTAAAATACAATCAGAGATATAATAGTCTACGACCGCTAATTATAAATAATAAACTATAGTGGTTGATGGTACATGAATCTTAACTAATATTGCAATACACATATTAAAATTAAATATGTAAGTAGTTATACAAACTAAAAAGTAAAAAATGTATATAATCCATTTATACAAATTTGTAATATTTTCTCTTACTTACCGTGGTATGAGCACTGAGGGTGTTCAAGTACTGACACATTTGGTAGGTAAGTGAAAAAGTCAGGGGGGAGGGGAGGAATATTCCCACTTCACTTCACCAATATTCCCACAGACCGTGCTCTTCAAATAATTGAAGAAAATTGGTCCACCATAGAACCACACATTTCCCTCAATCAATCCTCATTCCTTCAGTCCCTCTCTCTATGTTGCAACTCCGGCTACCTATGCGTTCAAAACAAATTTTTTCATCAAACTTCCGGCTTGGCGATTGGTAATTGCCTTGCACCAGACCTCTCTAGTATTGTTCTTAACAACCTCATTGATTCAATAATACTTAAATTTCCTAAGTATATTTTTTTCATTAAAAAATATGTTGATGACCTTTTATTAATCCTCAACCCCCAAGCTATTCCAAACATACTTTCTGCATTCAACTCATACACCCCCGGACTCCGTTTTACCATTGAAATAGAATCAAATAATTCCCTTCCATTTCTTGATCTCCTCATTTCCAGAAATAATGATAATTCCTTATCCACCAATTGGTACACCAAACCTGCTTACTCAGGCCATCTCCTAAACTATTTTTCCCAACACCCTTACCACCAAAAAATCAGTGTAGCTAAAAACCTGATGCACAGCAGCTTAACATTAACCGACCCGCAATTCCACGACAACAACCTATCCAAACTACACAAGATCCTGAAATCAAATGTCTTTCCTGATCACATAATAAAAAACTTGGTCGAAAATCAATCAAAACCCCATCTTCACCAGTCTCCCACAAACTGCTCTCAGTCCCCCAACACGATTCGCCAATACAGATCTATTCCATACATCCCTGTCCTATCTCAAAAAATCAAAAAAGCTATAACTTCCAAATTTCCCCATCTACACATAGTTTTCAAAAATTAAGAAATCTATACACTAAAGTCAAAGATCCTGTTCCACTCCTACAACAATCAAATATTGTATACCATATCACATGCTCTAGGCCAAACCGCAATTCTTCTTATATAGGAGAAACCAAAAACTATTTAAAAAAAACCAATCTATCAACACAAATACAGCATCTCCACACGAAACCCCTTCGCCTCAAAACTAGCTGAACACGCCATAACCCTAAACCACATATTTGATTTTGAAAACCCAACCATACTTGCCACAGTTCCCACTCACCAAAAACGACTACTTTCAGAATCTATATTCATTAATTTGGAAAAAAATAATCCGGTAAACCATAAAGTAGACAAAGAAAAGATCTGTAACACATATTCGAATATTTTCCGCCTCCTAAAACAATAGCCTATGTAATCCTTAATATAATACAAACTTATAGTATGATAAATATTGTTATTCTTAAAATATTGTCCTACGTATCATTTCAATCCATTGAAATCGTCTTTATTATAAAAATTATTTATCTAACCATTGTATACTTTTAATCAAACTAGGTTATATTTATATTGATCGGCACCTCTTGCTTAAGTTCATTTCATTACTAGCCAATAGTCACATTTCTGTAACCATATGAAACAACTCTAATATTGTACATGTCTGAAATATTTAGTCAACAAATTATGTACATTCTACAAACATAAATGTTACCTCCCTTCCCCTCTAACTATGTTTACCAACCTTTTGCTATCTGAAAAAGGGAACTGGGAAATACTCCCCCTCCCCTGACCTTTTCACTTACCTACAAAATGTATCAGTACTTAAACACCCTCAGTGCTCATACCACGGTTAGTAAGAGAAAATATTACAAATTTGTGTAAATGGATTATATACATTATTTATTTATTTTTTTTTATTTTTAGTTTGTATAACTATTTACATTACTTATTCACTTATTCGTTTCCTAGTATTCATTATTAATTCATTTTTTTTTAATACATATTTATTCAAATTTACAACAGTATTACATGCAAAATATAACAAGTAAATTTGAAATATTATTAACATCATATTCACTTTTTCTCATCTCTTCAACCTGAGAACTAATTATAAATATTTTTATGATTTTATTAATTTGTAATTTGAATTTTGGGGTTTTACTGCATGATTTTGAGTTTTTTTCTGCACATTTTTCGGATTTTTACTGCACGAAAATCTGGTATCTAGTTATATCCATGAATGGTGCAACTGGACCATTAAAACAACAATTAAAAACAAAAAAAAGCAAATAGCAATTATTTTTTACACAACTACAGATTTTCCTTTTTTAACTTTTTAAGAGAAAAACATTTTATCATGCATCATGCTTATTTTTTCTTTACCCTTTCTTTCTGGTTTTGAATATTTCGGACACTAATTTGAAGACGTTTCAAAATATATGCTGCATAAACCTCAGTTTAATATCATACTTAGATGTGACTTTTTAATGTTCATGGAAATATAAAGAAGAGACTTTCTTTCCAAGCATATCCATCGAAACATTGTTAAGGCTCTTATCCAAATAAGAGCTAAAAAATATCATCACTTTTCAACATTTCATAAAAAATGTATTTCACATTTGCTTCTATAATTTATTTTAATTCTATCTATAATCTGTTTTAATTCTTTCAACAGAAAAATATTGAAATAGAAGTTAAATATTACGTAATTTTAACTGACCTTCACTCTTTCATGGTTTATTAGCAATTTCTGGCTAGTTGTATATATCTGAGGGTAAACTCTTCGAAGAGCTTGAATCACAGCTTCTGTACAAAGACTTTTAAGATCAGAACCACAATAACCAACCGATGTTTCTGCCATTCGGTTCAATGCTTCTTTATCAGCCCATTTTCCAGCATGAACCTCTAAGATTTCACGCCTTTCCTAAAATAAATAATATGAAAAATACCTCTTATGAAAGAAAGTCATACAATGCCATATAAAGAAAATATAAATCTGTTTACTCACCTTAACACCAGGCAATGGAAAATGTAGTTCCCTATCAAATCTTCCAGGGCGTCGTAGAGCAGGGTCGATAGAATCAATTCTATTTGTTGCCCCTTAAATAGAATACAGCAAAAATAAATAATGAATCATGTAGTATTAAACTACAGTTAAAACAAACAATCATGTAAATACAAAAGGTACAAAAACACACTGAAACCAAAAGGAATAGGTATCATATAGGACAAAACAGCAAATAATGGATGCTATGTTTAAATGTTCAGTTCTGATGAGATAAAATACTTCAGATGGACAGAAAATATAAATCAATTGAATAATCACAAATTCTTAAGTTAGTAATTAACTTTATGTCGGTTAAACAAAGGAAATTCACTAAAATTTAGATAGAAAAAATGAAATACTAACTGTATAAATGAGAACCAGTACCCAGTAAAGGAACCCACTTCATTTATTCCATAGTTTGGCATTAAAGAATAAAAGAAATTTATAATAAATTTACAAGTTTTTTTTTTTGGTTTTGTTTTGTTCAAATTACTCAAAACGTTCCCCTTTTGCCTTGACACAGGCATGTAATCTCCATGGCCAGTCATCAATAGCAGCACGCAGCACTTCTTTTCAGGAAAGCGCGTCAACTGCTCGGACCAGAGATTGTTTGACGCTTTCCAAGTTAGGGTGTGCTCTGTGACATGCCATACTCTACAGTTTGGATCAAGCCGATAATCTAGTGGGTTGATATCAGGGCTTCCTGAGGACCAATCCAAGGTAGAGATGAACTCTGGAATGTTCTTTTGCAGCCACTGCTGAGTTGACCTGGCCTTTTGGGCTGGAGCAAAATCGTGCTGGAAAACCCTATGACTTCCGGCAAACAGAGTAGTGGCTTGACAACAGGTTCCAAAATATCGTCCTGATAATTTTTAGCATCTTTTTTTCATAAAAATGGAGCTTTTTGATAGATAGATAGAAAAATAATTTTATTCTGGGACACAGTTCCTTGATTGTGGTGCCATCAAAGCTAACTCCCCACCAAATCATCACTGAGGAAGGGTGATGACCTCTTTCCACTCTTCCAATGACTTCCTGGGCTTTTTAGAGCTGTGTGCACACACACGATCATTTTGGTGTGCACACGACCCTACCTTGCCTTTTAGCCTTTGGGGTTTTAATGCCAGAGTTAAAAAAACCCTCTGGCACCTGGACGCGAACTCATAGTTATTTTATTATCTTTAATTCGGTTATCAGGTTGCTGAGCAACGTGTGGTGCTGTGAAAACGCTTTAGCCCACTCGGCCACCCCTTCTAGTTCTTGAAGACTGCTGCCAGTTATCAGTTGAGAACCCATAACTAGTTACCATGCTGCCCTCCTTAAGGAACTATTTCGCAAGTACTGCCCAACGTCGTGGATAATAGTGCCTGTTGACAGTTGAGTACTGTTTTGAGGGAATAGAATAAAACATATTTTGTTGGCCCATATGTCCCAATCCCTCCAGAAGAAGGGAAGTAGTTGCAGTACGACAGTTCTAGATTGTTATCATATCTGAGAAAAGTAACCTATATGATATTGCAGCATCATTTTTGAAACTGAATGATAAAGCAGAGAGACTTTGGTTTAGACACAATGATAAAAGAACTTTTGTTTAATCGTGTTATAGATGATAGTTTAATTGAAAAAGAATTTGACGAGGTAGAAACATATAAAGAAAAATGGCTTTCGGTTGTCTCTATGAAAGATAAAATAACGATTCAAAGAAACCAGAAATCCAAGGGAAAGAAAAAGATAAGGTTAAGAGCGAAGAACCGAACAAGAAAACCGAGTTGAATTGGCTCTATCCAGTTCTCTGGCGGCAATATTTCCTAGGTATATTCCTTTTCCGAACCTTTATAACCAAAAAGCTATCTTATCTCCTTGATTTGTTTACTCCTTGTTTCTCTGTTCATTTGTTTAACACAAGATCCCAGTCCATAAACCTATTTGTTCTCTCTCATAGACCCGTTTCCTTTAAAAAATCCTTCATTTGACTGTTATATTACTGTTACTTATATATTAACAATATTGTTAATCAGAACAAATATGTGACCACACTCATATATATTTATTTGCAAATTAATATTACTTGTACTTAATTTACTTTAATTTTAAGGTTGGATTATTATGTTATGTTAACTAATAATTTTTAATTTTCTTATAGTACCAGACAATTGTTATTTTTTTGTTCACTGTAGTTATTTTTTAGGGGAATAAATGTCCCAGAATAAAATTTACTTTCTTCTTCTATAACTGATGGCTTACTAAATATATGTATTAAACTTTTGCGGATCAAACATTATTAAATGGAAGTTGTGCTAAGCCATTAATGTATTAAAATCAGATACAAATATTAGGTTTGTGCAGAGTTTTCGCACAGGTCAGCTAGTATATATGTACAATAAAATAAGTAAACATTGATTTTTGTTACAAAAGAAGCAATCATTAAGACTTACATGAAAAAAAAAAAAAAAAAAATACTAATTCTATAATTATTATACACAATCTAATGTTAGTAAAATCAGGAAACCTAAAAATTTCAAAACTAAAAACTATTTTATAATAATCTTTGTGTAAACATAATTTAAATACATTCACGATAATTGTTAAAGCTAAATTTTTACCTATGATAATAATGTCTCCTCGATTATCAAGGCCATCCATAAGTGCTAAAAGTGTACACACAATTGAAGCATGTATTTGATCTTGTTTTGTCGATCTAACAGGTGCAAGGCCATCAAGTTCATCAAAGAATATGATGGAGGGTCTAGCTGACTGAGCCTGTAATACATTATATTAAGTAAATTATTCATAATAACAATAAACTTAATGCACAAACATTATAATTTATTTAATCCAAAGCACTATTAATACTTTCTTAATTATTTTATATACACTACACAAATAAAGAGCTTGTTGTCGAGGTATGTGTGCAGAGAGTAGGCCTCGACAGAACGTTGCTCAATTTGGGGTTAAGATGACTAAGTGGATGATTAGAAGGATGACCTTAAGTGACAGGAGGATCAGCACCCAATTACTCTCAGTCTGCGATGTAAGAGATCAAGCTTAACACTCCGCAAGGATGGTAACCACAACCAGAGGGATCAAACTTCGGACTAGTGGGAGGATGAAATACTAACGGAGGGATCAATCTCCTGACATAGTATATAGGAATACAAGCAGACGGATCAGCATCCAGACCTGAATGGAGAAAGAATAGGAAAAAGGTTTTGGGTAATTCTTGAAGAAAAAGGCAATGTGAGGCATTAATAAGAAGAGTACATAAATCACGAACTGTTAAGTAGGTGACTGATAATCCTAAAGCTATAAGGGCTAGGAGATCATTTTTTCATGCGAAAGATAGATAACGAGAGTCGTATCTGATTATTCTGGTCTTCTATTTCCATCTTTACTCTTTATTGTAACATCTAGAGCTGTCGTATAAACTCTAGAAAGTTGAGTGATTGTATCCGTAAAAATTGTTCTAATATTAGAATTCTTCATTTTGTTTTGGTAATTTATCTTAAAATTCCAAATTTCATAAATTTTCTTTGGTTTTCTATTTAATGTTACTTTTATTTCAGTAAATGACAAAATACCATATTTTTAATAATTATCTTGCAGAAAAAAAAGTTCTGCCTAATCAAGTGAAGTCCATATTGTACTGCATGGTATGTAAAAATGCTGTTTTGTATTCAGTTTTCCGTCTATTCACAACAGATCTCCAACTCTAGATCTGGAAACACTCCCTCAAATCATCAAGAAGCCACCTCCGTGTTTTACTGTTGGTTGTAAACATTCATCCGAAAATTCAACTCCAGATCTTCTGTAACATAATGCTGCCTTCAGGAACCAAATTTTGACTCTTATCTCCATAAAAAAATTTGTACCATTCTTCTTCTGTCCAATATTCATGTTATTTGGCAAACTTAAATCGCTTTCGCTTAATCATAGATTAAAAAAATGGCTTTTAAAGATAGCAACACTATCTTTAAGACCAAATGATAAAAGTTTTCTTCTCATCAAGGGGAACGAAACTTGGGTGCCTGTATCATCGGCTGTTTCCTGAGCCAATTGTCTGCCACATTTTTAGCGGTTTTGCAAACACAATTATTTTAATGGTATGGATATGATTGACCTTGTGTTCTGATTTCAGAATTTGGTCGGGGGTGCGGTAAAAAAATGCTATATTGTATAATAGTATATATTTTATGATATTGTCCAACATTTCAACCTATGTTGTAGGTCTTCTTCAGAGCATTCTGTCTGGCACTGTTAAAGGTAGTATAATACTACCCTAGGTAGTATAATAATAGTATAGAAGGTAGTACAATACTATCTTAATAGTATGATACTACCTTAAATAGTAACAGACAGAATGCCCTAAAGATGACCTACAATGCAGATTGAAACGTTGGGCAATGTAATAAAATATAAACTATTATATAATAGTGAAGAGAAGAATAGTTGGGGTGGTCGGTCAAAAAAGAAGGTAAAAAATAAATGATAATATTTATTTTTTTCATATGCCGACGTTTTGACCTGAAGTTCAGGCCTTCATCAGGGCTAAGAAAATAACCAGATAACAAGGTATGAGAAACATAAGTAGTGATGTTAAAAAAAAAAAAATAATAATAAAAAAAAAATTAAAAAAATATAAAATAAAATAAGTAAAATGAAATTGTTAGAATAATGACTAAGAACTAAGAGATAAATAATAATAACCGTTACAAAGTGTGGAATGATGAAGTAGGCATAATCAAAAACGGTGACATAAGTGTTACAATGGGAATCTTAGAATAAAATGTAAAACATAAAAAAGAAATATGAAGTTATATAAGAAATGAAAATAAATAGTAAGATTAAAACATTGAGAATGGAGTAGTTAGATAGAAAATTGAGATATTGTAAAGTCTATCAAGATGTACAGACAATGTATAATATAATAAAGAGTTAAAAACAGATAAAAGGAATGAAAGGAAGGAGGGGAGAAATTGAGAAAGTTGAAATAAAAAGAAAAAAAAAAAAAGTACTACCTGTCTCCTTAAGTGTTGCAGGGAGAATAAAAGTCGTTACAAGGGAGGGGGAGAGAGAAGAGATGTGTAGGTGGCGTCATCTCTAACGGTTATCCGACGAAGTTTGAACTAAAGCGCTGGAAGCGTAAATAAGTACGAGAGATATATTACTCAGAAAATTATGGAAAATTGAACGAAAGTTAATATAAAGTGAAAGAAAAATTCAAAAGCAAAATAACTATTGAGTAATAAGGGAGAATAATTGAAATAAAAATATATCATATATATATATATATATATATATATATATATATATATATACACATACATATATATACATACATACACACACATATATATACACACACATACATACACACACACCCATTATATATATATATATATATATATATATATATATATATATATATATATATATATATATATACATATACACACATACATATACATATATATATATATATATATATATATATATATATATATATATATATATATATATATATATATATATATATATATATATATATGTATATATAAGGAAGTTGTCAGCAAAAAGGAAAGGAATATAACTATGGATGTTTTAATAAATTCAGAATTTGGGAGTAGGCTAAAGAAATGTTCTGTTTGTCAGTTTTTAGATTCACTGTCTTTGGTTGAAGTTGGATGTGGAGGGTTTCAGAAATGAGTCGTTTGTCGTGGTTGAGAACTGTGGCAAGGATGGATGTTTTGTCGAAATCAAATGAATGATTGAGGGAGAGAGAATGTTCGGATAATTTGGAAGAGGTAAAATTACAAGAGGATACAGGATATTTATGTTGGGTAATGCGGTCTTTTAGGAGATTTTTGGTTTCACCAATATAGGATGAATAACAATTGGAGGTAGAACATGGAATACGGTAAACGATATGAGAGCGGTGTGAGAGAGGAACAGGATCTCTTAGGGATGTGTATAATTTAGAGAGTGTGTTCTGAGATTTGAATGCAAGTCGTAAGTCAGGGTTAGTAGATCGTAAAACTTTGTTGATGTTGTCTGAAAGGTTAGGAATATAAAGTAGAGATCTGTATATAGGGGCTGAAATGGGTTGTGGAGAATTAATGGAAGTTGAGATTAAGGAAGAGCGATTATTGTGGTCTGTTATAAGTTTGTTAATGACATGGAGAGGAAAATTAACAAACTTATAACTCATATATATATATATATATGTGGGTGTGTGTATATGTGTGTGTGTAAGTATGTATGTGTGTATATATATATATATATATATATGTGTGTGTATGTGTGTATATATATATGTGTGTGTATGTATGTATATATATGTATGTGTATATATATATATATATATATATATATATATATATATATATATATATATATATATATATATATATGATATATTTTTATTTCAATTATTCTCCCTTATTACTCAATAGTTATTTTGCTTTTGAATTTTTCTTTCACTTTATATTAACTTTCATTCAATTTTCCATAATTTTCTGAGTAATATATCTCTCGTACCTATTTACGCTTCCAGCGCTTTAGTTCAAACTTCGTCGGATAACCGTTAGAGATGACACCACCTACACATCTCTTCTCTCTCCCCCTCCCTTGTAACAACTTTTATTCTCCCTGCAACACTTAAGGAGACAGGTAGTACTTTTTTTTTATTTCTTTTTTATTTCAACTTTCTCAATTTCTCCCCTCCTTCCTTTCATTCCTTTTCTCTGTTTTTAACTCTTTATTATATTATACATTGTCTGTACATCTTGATAGACTTTACAATATCTCAATTTTCTATCTAACTACTCCATTCTCAATGTTTTAATCTTACTATTTATTTTCATTTCTTATATAACTTCATATTTCTTTTTTATGTTTTACATTTTATTCTAAGATTCCCATTGTAACACTTATGTCTCCCTTTTTGATTATGCCTACTTCATCATTCCACACTCTGTAACGGTTATTATTATTTATCTCTTAGTTCTTAGTCATTATTCTAACAATTTCATTTTACTTTATATTTATTTATTTTATTTTATATTTTTAAATTTTTATTTTATATTATTATTATTTTTGTTTTTTACCATCACTACTTATGTTTCTCATACCTTGTTATCTGGTTATTTTCTTAGCCCTGATGAAGGCCTGAACTTCAGGTCGAAACGTCCGCATATGTAAAAAATAAATATTATCATTTATTTTTTACCTTCCTTTTTGACTGACCACCCCAACTATTCTTCTCTTAATTATCCAAGACAGTCAACCAATTACCAATTATTATATAATAGAATTTTTGGACCTTACCCCAAACTAACTTCTGAAATTACAATAATTTTAAATGTTGTTCAGCAGCAGGACTATGTTTTACACCTGCCTGGACGTTTCAAATATCCAGTTCGCTTGGTTTTTAAAATTGTTGAAGAAATAATGTATTCCAGAAATAGAACCTTCAACTTTTTATTTCCCTGCTTGTAAGCCCTCGTTGAAGCAAAATTATTTTTTTATGTCCGTCATAAATATGATATTTTGCCATCTTCATATTAATATTTTATTGTTCAAAGACTTTTACACACCACTGGTATATACATAAAAAAATATATCTGAGACCAACTTCCATACATAAAAAATCTCTCCCTTCAAAACTCAGTATTTCCATCCTCTTGGGATAAAGCCATTGTCCGTCTTTTACTTAAAAATCCTAACCCTTCTTCCCCTGAAGATTTCCACTCAATCTCAATCCT